CGAAATCATGGGGGCCCTCCAGTCATGCGTGAATGCAACAGTGTCCCGCCTGAACGTGGATATCAATCCACGTGACCTTCAGTGTTGCTTTGCAGCATTCAACTTGGAGGCGTGGTGGCCAGCTAAGCAGAGTTTGGAGGCTGGTGACACAGCACCTTGGGAGCGGTGTGAAGCAAGGTTGCTCCCTTGCTTCCGTTTGCTTTGCAAGGCTGCGGCGCAGGATGTGCGACAAGGCGCTTTGGAGTTTGAGGCTGCACTCGCCGAGCTTTTGACAGAGACAACCATGGAGCAAGTCGTCAAGCACCAGGATTCCAGGCTAGCCTGGCGCCGAGTCCTCGGGTATGGCACTGCTTTAAGGGCTTGCGGTGGGCTCTTCCCAGTGCTGGGAGTCATAATTTCGTGGTACTGCAGTGTCATTGATGGCGAGTGTCAAGTGGAACGGGACCTTGCCATCCTGAAGAGCCTTCTGTCTGAGCACAGAGGGAGCCTGGACATGGACAGTGTCACATTATCTGACTTACTGGAATTGAGGTTGGGCGGGCCGCAAACCGAAAATGAAATAGCTTCCCAGGTGCTCTTCGAGGATGTCCTTGGGTCTGAGGTCCGCTTGGCGGGTGCATCGGGTTGTTTGCAGATGACGGACTTCACCAGGGAGTGCCAAGCCCTGTACATTGAGCAGTACGGCCGAAGATTCCGATGTTACCGTGTCAGGGCGGACAAAGGTCAGCCGCGACAGAAGCGCAAGAACACCCTGGCCAACCACAAGCGTTTGCAACGGCAAGCTGTGAACTCCTTGGTCAAGCACTACGAGGAGGACCCGGACTCCATGCAAAAGACGTGCCTGGGCCCAGGCTTCGAACGCAACAAGTTCGTTCAGAACCCGAACCAGAGAGGTTCCAAGAACCCTGCGTGGGACAAGAATTTGGCCAAGTTTCACAAAACGACCATCGCCAGACAGAACGCCAACCTGGCTGCTCGTGACAGGTTGCAGAAAGGCTTGCCCGCTGCTCGGCCGGCTCTCCGGCCTGGAAACCTTTTCAAGGCAAGGGCTGGGCGAAGCAACAGAGACTTCATACCTCTTGATCCATCTGCAATGGTGCTCGATCTGACGGCCGAGGGCATGGAGTCACCGCCCCTCCGAGACCAGATCAAGCGTCCAGCTCGGCCAGACTCAGTGTCGCCCCCAGAGCTTTTGAAAGCCAAAGTTGTGGTGGTAGACGATGTGCTGGCAGTGGAGCAGATGAGGACAGGAATGCATCTCGGCCATTTTGTGTACTGTCTATTCACAGTTCTTCTTTTGCGAATAGGCCCGAGTTATGTTTCACATCCTGTCGAAGTCTGTTTGTGACTTTGTTATACTAGGCCTGGCCACCTTCTGGTCTACGTCAGTGTCGTAGCAGCCAGCTTGGGCATTGTCTCTGCAAATGAATGGGCTGCCAGCACCAGGCTTTTTCGCATCCGGCATTACAAGCCTGCTTGTACCAGTGTCAAAGTCAGTGTCTTTATCACGGACACATTCTGGGAGAATTCCCGCAGTGTCGCGAAGCTCCTGAAGCACTTTTTCTCCCGCAAACACAGTGTCTGGACTCTAGTCACAGACACTTCAGAAGCGCACTGTACAGTGTCAGATTTGCGCTCTTTGCATGGCTTCGTCAGCAGTGTCAGAAGGATGTCACGGGACCACGTCCCTGGCAGTCAAAAAGGTGCTGGCTCCGGCTGGCACCTGGGGATGGGGTCTCAATTGCTTCGGTGAGGGATTGGTTTTTACATCAAAGTCCTAATCTGTGTTTGTAAGTCACGGTCGCAGACAGTCCTCCTTGACGGAAAGCAATATATCTGTATATGTGTATGGATATCACATTTCCAAACCGAAGCTCTTGGATCCCAGGGCTGATTTAAGGCCCGGCTTTTCATGGACGTAGTGTCGAACTGGAGCGAGGGGCTTTCCGCGGGGAGAGGAAGAAAGGAAGCGTTCTGCACCGGCACAGTCTTGCATGAGTGACATTGACAGTCGGTCTAAGCCATTGCTCAGCTGCGCAGGTCATCTCTCCCCATCATTTTCGAGATCCCGCCGAGACGGCCGCGGCCTTGGAGGTAAAAAGGTATTGACCCCCTACCAGGAGGGGGTCCAATACGGTACCCGACTTGCGCAAGTCGGCCCCCGTATTGGACCCCCATCCGGTGGAGCTTCAATACCATGCAAGATCTGTGCCAGTAAAGCAACGTATTGCATGACCCTTGCATGGTGTCCCAATACCCTAGCCGACTTGCGCAAGTCGGCCACCGTATTGGCCCCCCTCGGTTTTGCTGTCCTGAAGTGACAGCCTGCCCTGCTCATCCGGCCATGGCCAAAAAGACGGCCAAAGATTCCAAGGCGAACGAGCAATCCATTCAGACGAAGCTGTTGGCCTCAGAACCTCCAGTGTCCCAAGTGGCAGCGCCAACGCCCGTCAAAGCGGCGGCAAAGCCGCCCGCAGCTCCCCCTTCAGTGGCTTAGCTAGCATTGTCTGTGGAGACCGCCGTCTTCAAGTTGTTTAATGCCTAGGGCCTAGCGACCTTGGCACCCCAAAGACTTCAGGTTGATGCGGTCCCGACTGGAAAGCCATCGGAGCCGGCGGCACCCCAGGGGGCCCCGATGAAGACAGTTCCTGTCCTGCCAGTTTGGGGCGACGCCAGCAAGCCGATGGGCTGCTTGAAGATCATGAAGGATGTGGTGCAGTATGCGCCTTTGCCTTCTTGGGCATATTCTTATTGGGCCGGGATTAAAGTTCAGGCGGCTGTGTTGCACACTTCTACTGTCGCGAGGCTTCGGGGCATGAGACCAGACTTCGCCATAAATCAGCAGCGAGCTTCAAGTCGAATTTGGCGGAGGGAGGTTCCAGCAACACACATAATAAGAAGTATTCTGCTATCGAACCTATGATCTTGACTGAAGACATACACACAGGTTTCTGCCGATGCTGTGCTTGCTTCTCTGAAGTTTGTTTCCCTTGACGCGTAGCCCCATCTCATGCTGGTTCTGTCCCCCCCCTCCCGTTTAGCACACTGCAGGTGCACCAGGAGCTCCCGCGTCTTCTCAGGGACACTGTCACTTTCAAGACAGAGGGTCAGTGTCAGCTCAAGGAGATTGCCCCACTGACCGTCCCAACAGTGTCAGAACAGTTGAAGGGAAACTTTCGTGAGCAGTGGCGGCCGGAGAATTGCCAGCGCTCTGTTGAGAGCGCTGGCATGTACGAGGCGGGGGGCTCCTTATTCTGGTTAGAGCCCATTGTCAGTCTTGGCGGCTGGTCAAGCGACGAGGCCATGCTCGAGGAACCCTCGTGGTGGGATGTCTTTGAAGCGCACAGTGTCATGTGTCCGGAGGTCAGTGTCAAGGAGCGCTTGTACTTCGGGGACCCCTTTCTGGCCTTCACGTCAGTGTCACCCGACGGCGTTCGCTTTCCCGCCAACCTCAGGGTCATGAGGGGCTTGGTCCTGTTGCACGCCTGGTATGTCGCCATGCTGAAGGCCATCCAGTCTCGCAATCTGGAGCGCATCGAGGCCCTGACTGTCATGGCACTGACCGTCAGTGTCCGCGTGTACCATGACCCGAAGGAGAAGTCAGTGTCGTTCTTCGTGCTCAAGTCGCTGCAGAACTCTGAGAAGTCCAAACTCACCAGTGTCTGCGACAGCCACTTGCCTGAGCATGGCTGTCATGTTTGGTCACGTTTTTTACTTGTCAGTGTCGCCCCCTAAGGTTTTCAGCTGTGGGCGAAGAAGCTGTCTTTCCTGCTGAAGGAGATCCCGCAGTCCACACAGCCGAAGCTTCTGGCTCTCTTGCAGCAGAAAGGCCTGAAGTACAATGGGTCCAATATCAACAAGACCATGTTGCAAGCAGCGACATCGCTCACCGGCGTCTTGAGTGACAGAGCTAACGAGCTCCTCGTCAGTGTCCAGCGGGAGTACGGGAAGGACGTCTGGAGCGGCGGCTACAACAAGATCTCCAGAGTCATTCAGCTCGTGACCAAGCAGGTCACACTGTGGAATCTGCCCCAGGACAGCGAGGTCAATGTCCAGTTTGTCTTCGAGTTCGTCATCGAGTACAGCCTCATGACCCTTCGGCGTGGAAATGCCAGTGCCAAGTTCTTCAATTCGACCAACATCGAAAATGGGGAGAACGGTGGCTGGACGGCTGCCACGTGCGTGAAAGCGTTTCTGGCTCACCACCTCCTGCGACTTGCCACGTCCGCAGCCGAGAAAGAAGCCGAGATGATGAAGGAGGCCGCAGAAAACGACAAGGATCAGTGTCACAATAGCAAGGACATCCCGCTGCCGAAGAAGGACACCAAGGAGGCGTTGGAAAAGGTGTGGTGCCCGCTGAAGTACCACTACCACAATCCGAAGGCGGTCAAGACTCAGGCTGAGGAAGAGGGGCTAGGGTCACAGGAGGCCGAGGAGGACGTGGATGACGAGGAGATGGACTATCTGAAGGAGGTGACTGGCCATTTGCCGAAGTCCGGCAAGTTGGCCGTCGAGCTTGTGCGGGACCTCTTCGAGGCGGAGCACGAGGCCAGTGTCAAGAAGCTCGTCATGGAGGTTGACCCGGCGAAATGTTTGATGGAATGCCAGGAGAGCAAGAACGAGTTGGCTAAGTCCTTTAAGGCCAGCGTCATGGGAATGATGAGCGGCATGACTTCAGTCTCATCGGGTGCCCCGCCAGTGTCATTGCGGACGCTCGTGCGGAGAGCGTCCAATCCGGACGAGGAGGACAGCCGCAAGGAGCAGGAGCGGCAGAAGATCTGGTCACAAGCGCAGGCTTTGCGTAAGAAAAAATGCCAACTGGCTCTCTGGGCGGCCAAATCAACTGACAGTCTTCGTGGCTTGCTCGACAAGATGACAGGTGTGGCCCAGTTCGAGAAGGGCGCCATCAATCAGTGTCACCGACTTTGGGTGATCAGTGCGGACCTCGCCCACGAGGCCCCAGGAAGCTGGAATCGCGCTCCGACGCTGAATCATGAGACTTTGAAAAATGTGTTCGAGTGTCTCGCAAAGTTCCCTATGAAGGAGTTCGATATGCTCGTGGCCTTCGATGGATGCGTGCCGGAGAATAAGGCGACACTCCGTGCTGGCATGGAGGACGACGGCAAGTTGCTTGAATTCATCATTTTGTTCAACGACCGGCCCCGTCAGTGTCGCCAACGCAAGATCTTTTGCGGGTCGTCGAGGGTTGAAAGTGGCACGATGAAATTGTGGACGCCCAGGGTGAGGATCAGTGTGACTGAGAGGTCGGACGACTTCGTGCCACCCTCAACTTCAGACACGAAGGCCAAGAAGAAGCCTAGGAAGCAGACGACCCACGACTTGAACAGTGTCGGAGTCCCGCCTGCCACTGGAAGACCTCTCATCAGTGGCGTTGACAAGGCCAAAATCTTTGAGTCGTGCAACGAGCCCGACGGATTCAGAGGCTCTGCTTGCCCCATCTTCTGGGCAGAGACAAAGCCAGTGTCATACTGGCAGACACTGCTGGGCTCCTTGCAGGTTGGGCAGGTGATGGATTTCACGCCGGGAAGCGGCTCACTCGCCGAAGCTTGCCTCCTGGAAGATGTGCCGTGTGCCGGCATCCTCCGGGACCAGATCCACTACAGCTGGCTGGTCAATGTCTTGGACCGTCAGTGTCTGAAACTCCTCGCAGACAGAGCCTTGGCCCGCAAGCCATGGTCATGTGCACACCCTTAATTTGCGCCTGTCTAATAATAACGCTTCCTAAAAATATACCAGAGGCGAGAGCAATCTGTATGACGAGAACCTTTCGGCGCTGATCACTGAGCATTTCGCCGACGTTTTGTCTGAGCTAAACGAAGCAGAGCTGGAGGCCGAGGATGAGGACTCCGACGAGTGACAAGCTTAGGCAGAGTACATTTTGACGGGTTCGCGTCGTGCCTTTAACTGCTGGTGGGTGGAATTCAGTTCAGTGTAGGCCTAAAGCTCAAGACTGGCAAGCCGCAAGCAATGCCTTATTTGTGATCATCGGTACGTACATAGACTAATTGTCCAGCGCATACGTTCGAATACGCAGTGTCAGCAAGGCAGACGAAAGCTCTGTAGTTTCAGAAATGGCCATAGCAAACACTCGCTGGGGTCCCAGAGTCCCACTCAACCTACTTAGGAAAGATCAATTCCAACATGGATGCTCCAGCGGTTTTGTCGCTTTGCGTCTGTTGGCCATTCACTAAAGGACATTCTCTGACAAGGCTTCTCCTCTCTTAGTGCATAAGCCTCCAGAATCAGAGTGACTCTGTTTTTGTCTGGTATCGACAAAATTACTAGGGCAACAGCACTCACTCGCATCATCGGTACAGCTCTTCAGAAATCAATCCTGGGGAGGCTTGTCCGGGGCCAGTATCAGATGATTATTTACCTCCGGAAGCTTGGTTGGAGTCACCCAAAAATGATGTCTGCCATGCAAGCGCTTGTCATGCCCGGCACTGCTTGACACCAGTCATACAAGTGATCTGTGTGAGCTCTCAGTCAGACAGCAATTAGAAATTGGGGAGTGATCACTGCTTGCGTGGGCGCCGTCATGTCACCGGCGTTCAATAGACAGTGGCTTTGGTTCAAGGCTCACTGTTCAAGTTCTGTAGTAGGCGTTGACTCTGAAGTGCTCGTCGCAGCAGGTGGCACCATCCATGTGCACTGTGCAAAGGCTCCGGCTTGATGGCATGGCCATGTGACATAGACACAGTTTGAATCGTCATTGTTCAGTGTCCGCCATGGTTTCAAAGCATGGTGCTGACGAAGCCATCGCATTGTCGGAAAGCTGGCCGGGCCCAATGCTGTCCCGTGCAAAGGCAGCCAGGGAGACATGGCTCTCCGAGCACAGTGTCGTTGGAGAGCCGCCCGTTGATGCCTGCTCCACACTCATGCTGGGGACGGACTGCGCTGGCGCCGAAGCGCCTGTGTTTGCTTTGAAAGGACTGAAGTTGCCTTTTCAGCACCAGTGGGCAGCAGAGATTGCTCCCCACGCACGTGCTTTCATCACCAGCTCTTGCGCTCTGAGCCCGCACCGTTTGCTGGGCGACATGTGTTCTCGAAGACATCAAAACTTGGACTCGATCAACCTTTACGTGTGCGGGTTTCCATGTAAGCCTTGGAGCAGGCTCAACAACCATTCCCGCTACTGGGATGATCCAAACGCAAAGCCCTTCCAGGCCGGTCCCACGAGCAGCTTTGTCCACTTCTGCGTGGTATCTAAAGATAGAGCCTTGAACCCTTGGATCAAGAGTCCTGGCAGGCGATGCTGGAGACCGTCCAGGCAAAGCGTCCCAGCCTTTGCATTTTCGAGAACGTTGTCGGGATCCTGCCCTTCATGCCGGAGATCCAGGGTCGAATGGCTGTGGCTCTTTCCGAGTACCACATCTTTTGGACACGACAGTGTCCGACAAGTTTGGGTCACGCAGTACGAAGGCCCAGGATATATTTCCTGGCCATTCGCAAGGATGCCAGTGTCATCCAGGACCCTGCTGGCCTCTGCTGCCTGGGATGCTGCTTGCTTCGGAGCCTCCGCAAGGACTTGGTCGCGCCCCTGGGAGACCGGCTGTTGCCCAACACTCATTGCTTCGTGAAGCGGTTCCTCGACCAGTGTCACAAGGCTAAGGGCCAGGAGAAGAAACAGCAGCAGGACAAGAGCAAGCCAAAATGGAAAGCCCAGCAAGCACGTGAACGACAGCTCCTGAGATCCGAACAACGTCAGTGTCCAGGCCCTCCGAAGTTAGACGGCCAGTTGACTGCCAGGCAGAAAGGGGCTTGGGAAATCGAGTGGAGACGATGTCATGCCGATAACTCCTTGGTTGTGGACGTTTCCCAGACCGCCGGCAGATGCCCAAGCGGCGTGGGCGGCCTTTGCCCAACCTTGACGCCTGGTGGCAAGGTGGTGGTAGCCAGTGTCAAACGCTGCATTTGCCCTGAAGAAGCCATGCTGCTGCACGGCTTCCCTTTCAAGGCCATTGAGGCGTCGTCGGTGTCACCGAAACAGCTGGCGTCTTTAGCAGGAAATGCAATGCATGTGGAAAGCGTGGCCGCGATGCTGGTCGTGGGGTTGTCCTTGTTGCAGGTTAACAGAATCAATGCTTCGCCCCCTGCAGTGCCATCGTCAACTTCAGTGTCAGCTTTCCTCGAAATCAAGGCACATGGCGTTGATGCTGAGGAGGATATGGCAGCAAACAAGGTGGCCAAGCAGGTGCCCAGTGTCGAGGAGCAGATCGACAAGGGTGCCGCAAAGAGGACAGCAAAGATGATTGCCGTGAAAAAGATTGCAAAACCTAAGCCCAAGGCACCGGCAAAGCAGCAGTTTCCGCGTCGCAGGCTGAGTGGCCATTATGGCAAGCCGTCAGTGTTTGAGAAGGCCAGTGTCAAGTCGAAGAAGTCTCGTCGTAGGTCTTAGCTGAGACTTGCAGTTTTGTCATCTGGAGAATGACTGACAAGTCAAGATTACTTGCCAGGGGGGATCTGGCGGAAAAAGGCAGCCATGTTCGCCGTTGTAGATGCCGCGTCAGTGCAAGTGCCAGCCATTGAACTTCAGTTGTCGCGAATTGTTTGCGATGCCCAAGGCCAGATGTTTCCTGCTGTGTGGCGGCAGGCGCCTGACGGTTTTGGGGTAAGCCAGTGTCATCGTTGGGGTTTCGGGCGTGAACATAGGCACTGCGGTTGGGGTCATTCTGGCGGATTAAGCGGTTGTCAAGTGTCATTCTGCTTAAGATGGTTGTGAATTGAGCCCTAATTGCCAGGGGCCAGGACAGCCTTTGTTGGTATGATTTTCAGGGTGACGGTGAGGCTGGTTAAGTATTATTGAGTTTGCAGTGTTTTGGAGCTGAAGGTTCAGTTTATCACGGATATTTCAATGGTGCCATTTGTCAGGGGCAAGGCCAAGATGAAGTAAGGGGTGCGATTTCGGAGCAACTTCGCAAGCAATTCTAAGGCAGCTTCATCAATGTCGATGGTTTTGAACGTGAATGTAAAGGTTCTCAAGTATTCTGCATTTGTTAGAAATGTGCGAATTGGTTGCGACTTGAAGTGTTGAGTCGAAGGGTGCGAGTTGGGTGCGAATTGTCAGGGGCCAAGCAAAAAGCCAGTGTCCTTGATGGGATTGTGGGTTTAGAGCTGACGGTTTTCAAGTGTGTAGTCGAAGGGTGCGAACTGTCCTGGGCCAAGCAATAAGCCAGTGTCCTTGTTGGGTTTCTGGGTCGAGCTCACGGTCGAAGGGTAGGAATTGTCCGGGGCCAAGCCAAAAGCCAGTGTCCTGGTCGGGTTTCTGGGTTTAGAGATCACGGTTTTGAAGTGTTCAGTCTCAGGGTGCGAATTGGGTGCAAATTGTCCGGGGCC